CCCTGCCAGGGCACCGCAGAGCTGAGGAGCTGCCCCTTCCTCATCCCCAGGAGGACGATGGCATTTTTGTTGGGCAATCCGCAGCCTCAGAGCTGTTGCGCTGGGAGAGCAGAGGGCTGGGTTTGTTGTGCGCTCAGGTGCAGAAGCCATCGCCTGGCCCGGCAGCTCCCCACACGCGCTGTTCTCCTGCCAGAGGCCCAGCTCAACCTCCTGCACACCTGCAAAACGCTGCTCGGTCGGTGCCACGGGGGCAAATTTTGAGCCCCGTGGCTGGTTTCTTCTGTGTTTCTAAGGGCGGCTTCTTTACAGGTGTCCCGCTGCTTGCTTAAAGTCGTTGCCATCTACAAAATGTGATTTCTATCTTCCGTGGTGTTTTGTCCCATTAGATTGAATTAATTTCTGTTGACATCAGGTCACACCAGCTTCTGCAAAGGGACGGGTGACATCTGAGGTGTGCCTCATTGGAGGCAGGTTTTGAAAACATCAAGGTGTTTGTGATACTAAAAGGAATTTTTTCCACCCTGTCATCTGTTTTCTTTGAAATTTAATGTTTCCTCTTAAATAATTCTTGAGAAAATGTATAAAATTTTTTTAATTTAAGACTGCATACTGCACTGTTTTCTTTTCCTGCTAGTGTTTGGAAGAGCGATACATGCCCTCGCACGTATTAGTGATGAATTCTGGTTTGACCCCGTAGAAAAAGGTGTAAGTAAATGGATTCATGTTGTTGGATATTGTGTTGTTTTCCTACAGGTACCTTTCAGCCTGAGTTACATTCTCTCTGAGCTTCCTCCACTTTCATTATGGACAAATGCCATATTTTCTGTAATTGTAATTACGCAGATTGCGTCATGGAAGATTCATTCCTACTCTGCCCCTAGTATTCTTCGATTTTTTCTTACCCAAGCTGAAGCTTGTCCAGGACATCCGGATTAATACCAAGGGTTTTAGTTCTGTTGTCATGGGTCAAAAGGTTTATGGTTTGTACCACATCAGAAGCTGCCCCTAAACAACATGTTCTTGTACGGGTGTGACTCAACAGGAAGAATGCACCCATTAATATGCCGCTGATTAATCAAACACCATTTCCAGCAGAATTAGGGTTTTCTCTAGAGGTTTCTTAGTTAAAAGTGATCAACTCTCCTTAATTTGCTGGGAGGCTGGAAAATGAGAAGTGGAGATAATTTCTTTTCTTACTTCATTAATTTTTGAGGTGCTGGTGATGTCTTTGCTCATTTGTACATAGCATGTGGATGGTTGTACGGGAAGATTGCTTTAGAACAAACTCCAGTCCTTCAAATGCCTCAAACACAAGCTGAGCTTTAAGTGTTCGGGTAACCCCAGGGCCACACAGCTGTCCATAGATTGGAATCCTACGCCTGTCCTATACCAGGGACTTCTGACTGGTAGTAATGAAGGTGATAAGTTTGAACGTGACTGTATGCATGATGCATCTATATTTATTTTGAGACGTACACATTTAAAGGTTTTGTGGCTTAGGTTTGGTACTGAAGCACAGAGATGGCTTTTTGATTAAAGGTTTGATATGAAATACTTTTTGAGTTAATAAATTATTTTACTTATATTTTCAGCTTGCCTTAAGATCAGTGAATTCTTCAAGGTCAGCATACGCATGTGTCTTCTTCTCATCTACGTTTTTTCAACATTACTGCTGGACAGCTGTGGCTCAGCCACGTCAGAAGGAAAAACAGTTATCCCTCCCCTGTAAATTGATAATTAAGGTACATTTTAATGGATTGTTATGCACGTCTTTGTAAGCAGCAAATTAGCCCAATTTCCAAATGAAATTATAGGGGGAAGCTCACAGAGGCATGCGGATGGCTCTGAACTCAAGCACTTCTGAGCAATTCTGCAAAAGAGAGCGCTGGTATTTAACTGTACCTCCTGAGCTGTGCCCGGCCGTTCACAAAGTCGGAACCATCTCAGTCTTGGGGTGAAGGAATACCACACTGCTGCCCCGGAGTGTTTCTCTTGTAGCCTTCAAAACCAGTATGAGGCAGGAGAGCTCTGACCAGTTGTTAGCAAACAGGTTTCTTGGCCACGTGTTGGGTGAGGATGGCAAGGATCAGTATCAGCTGCCTCACTGTCTGCTTACAAAGTCGTTTGGGGAAGCCATAAAAGCAGGAGCTTGAGATAAACTGTACAAAATTCGGGAAATAACATTGCAGAATTGTTTGATGAGTAACCTCTGTGCTGGCTTTTGTTTTTTTACAGTCAGTTCTTCCTGTATTTAGATATGTAAATGTGCTGGAAAGGAATGTAGAGAAGTGCAGCATTTATACGAATATTAGTGATCATCACGTAACTTTTCAGCTCCTCTGCAAACATGGTAGGTTACACAGAGTGACTCTACAGAAACAGCAGCAGTTTAGAACAGCAGGGTGACATATTATTTAGTGTAGTTATTAACTGAATGTTATTGATGGAATATTATGCCAAGCACTTGCAGCCTCTTCACATCATAATTTACATTTATCATGTGCATCACCTTGTTAAAATGAAGCTGTAACAGGCTTTATCAGACAAACGTTCTTCAGTTCAGCAGTTGCGCACGCTATTCATTGTCAGCCTACTGCTTACAACATTTAGGATCAGGCTGGAGTAAATTCTGAAAAAAACACGTTATGGAAAGGGAGGGAAATCCTGTTTTGGCAGGTCTTTGAACCAGCGGATTTACTGGGTCTCTCCACTTTTAATACTTACTTGTTGCTCTTCACTTATTTCTTGTGGATTCTTAAGAAACTCAGATGCTGGAGGGGCATAACTAATAGGATGAAGGAAGTCTCAGGTGGCATGTTAATTCAGTTTTCTATTTGTGGGTGAGTTATTTCCACATAGCTAGAGTGAGTTGCTTGGTTACTTTCTCGTCTGAGATTCCCTAAAAGAAGTATTAATACTGAAAAAGATTGAAAATTACATACCAGCATTGATTTTTGTTCATATCCTTTATCCTTAGGTGTTGTAAAAACATATAATCTGACTTTTCAGGAGTGTGATCCGTTGCAGGCTGTTTTTGCAAAGCACATGTGTCCAAACATACTTAAAGTCCACTCCAGGTAATGAATTTTTTTTTTTCCCTGAAAAAATTCATACAGGAGGCAATACTGCTCTCATAGTCATCAACATCATCAAAATCTGATCAGGGCACAGAAAAAGATGGTGAATTCCTAATTCCTTTATCCTAGTGCTTGATTTTTCCCATTACAGCTTCAGAAACTCGGATCACTGCCACTAATCCTGCTGAGTCTGACCTTGAGAAGTGTGTCACGTGTGATTTGAATTCACACCTCTGAGCAATTTCCACCTGTGACAAACCAAGTAGTGCTTTAATTTTACAGGCAAAGAACCCAGTGGTAAAAGTGCATTTTGTTTTAGTGCAGTAAGGGAAAGTTCTGTTTTGAAAAGCAGCTCCCAGAAGAATGGCAAGCGTTGGCTTGTCATGGCAAGCGAAGGTGAAGACCAGTCAGACTGTGCGTCTCCTGCCGGCATTTCTACTGGAAGTGTTTCTGTGCAAAGGAGCTCTTGTCACAGTCATCAGCCATTACACTGTGATACAAACATACAGAAAGATAGCAGCAATATGTCTACGTAGGACTGAGTTGGCAGCACACACAAGCATGAAATATAACCAATTTGCTTTTGTAATCACGAGTTGCATTGTTAGATTCCTTACCTATAGCTATATAAAGCAATTAAAAGCTCCAGCAGACTTTAAGGGGTGCACATTTCAAAGGCAGTTTTTCAGACAGTATTGCCAAGTAATAATTTTAATTTCTAATGCGAGTAACAAATGCTAGCTAGTAATCTGTGGCATGCAAAATTACTTTAATTTTTTTAATGTTAATGCAAAATTACTTTTCTGTTTAGTGTACTTTAATGACATTTTATAGGCTGCTGGCTGATATAATGATTCACTTCCCGACCAGTCAAGAAGAAGTAACCTTATCAGTTACTCCCATGAAAGTTTGTTTGAAGAGTTACACTGAGGAAGACACTGGTAAGGAAATCAAAATATGAAACAATGTTGGGACTTTAAAACAGGGGAACTAAAGGAAGAATAATTATTGCAGCCTGAATGGAGAAGGCATTTTATGGCTGAATGACATTTTTTTAAGAGAGGGAACATATATAGAGAGATTTTAAGTCATACTGCCACCCTCTGGTTTTAATACATTTTTTAAAAGTATGTTTTTAGTAACATTTTCCTGGTATCAGTGGCAGATATCAGACTGAGCAGCCAACTGAAATAAATTATGCCGCTTGCTGGAGGCTTGAACAGAGGTAATTACCGTGCTGCAAGAGCAGAAGCATGGCAAGAGACAGGAAAAAGGAGATAATTTTATGTTTTAAAAAGAGCTATTTAAATCTGAATCCCATAATTACAGAATTGATATCATTAGGGAGCGTATTTTAGTTTAAGGGTGATCCAGTGTGTTAGCCAGCCTCGCAGTGTTACGCTGCACTGCCATTTTCAGGTCTCCATCGGAGATGGAGAACAATCTAGATTCTTGGGGTGTGACTCAAACTCGTTATAAAGATATAATTGTGGTTTTGAGTGTAGGTTCTTGTTCATTACATAATAAAGGGATGTTTTTCATATTTGCTTGTGACCAAAGCTGAGGATAATGACCTAGAAAAAGATGACTGCCTAGAGCACAGGGGTGGGGATGGTGCTGAGAACAGGCTAAAGCAGTGGAGAGCAAGAAGGATTAAGTGGTGGAAACCGGAGTGAAACAGGGAAGAAAGTACTGAAAATAAAAAGACACTAGAAACAGTCCATTTTGAATGACAAATTTTGTTAGTTTAGAAACACACACTTAAGGGGTTACTGTAAGAAAGTGGAAAAAAAATAGCAGGTAAAAATTGAGATACCAAAATGAGATTAAAAAAAAAAAATAAAAAATGAGATACCAAAACCCCAAACAGCCAAGGAGAAAAAAGGAGGAATTACCAGCATCGTTCTTGTGTGGTACATGATGCAACATAGTGCCTGCAGCAAATGTTCTGTTTGCGCTGAAACAAAAACGTGTCCTTTGAACATATCATCTGCTGACACCTCAGGGTTTTCCAAGTTCAGGTTTAATTCTCAAAGAGAAATTACACCTTCTGCCTAGACTTGTTTTCATTTGTGCGTGGGAGGCCCTGCCTTGTGGGAGCCGAGGTGTGCTAGAACTTTGTGTTTCTACAGCTTTAAGGACCTTTACAAGAGTGTATTTGAGCATGCGTGGGGTCTTGTTGAAGGCCGAGATAAAAAAACATACCCTCTTGACTAGAGAAACAGCATACGGGGAATAGTTTGCAATACTCTGTGAGCAGCCTGGCTTTGGAAGAGAACTGGATAGGTGTGTACTGGTTAAGCTGCTGTCAAATTTTTCCAAATGCCTGTGAGACTAGAACACATAATGGAAGTATGCGCTTTACTTTCTTTTCACACACCTAATAACAGCTACGGGCTAATCTAGTGATAACAGGCAACAACTGAACACCTGAAACTGCAGAGCCTATTTCCTGTTGCCACTTACATATCAGGAAAAGATTATAATTGAAAACAAAGAACCTGAGTCCACGTTCATTGTCCTCTGATTATTGTCAGCAATTACGATTAATCTCTTAAAAGTCATGCGGTATTTCGGTCTTCCCATCTATGCAACAATAAGCAGCCGGTAATGCTATTTGTGATGAACGCCTGTGGACAAAGCAGATTTGCAAGAACGACAGCAGGTATCGGGTTAGATCACACAGTGGAGCATGAAAGAGGTGCTGTTAAAAGCCAGTTAAATCTACATAATACACTGTAAATAAATTGAGGATTTCATTTTACTTAATTATTAAATGAATTTAGATAAATAAACATTTAGTACTGTTAGTCACTATAAAAATACAATTATTTGTTCAAGCAATGCTGATGTAGAAACCTCATGGTTGTAATCACAGATTTGTAGGGTTCAAACTTCACTCCTCTGAGCCCTTGACTTTCCTGTTATTTTGTACAGATTTTTCAAAGACGATGCTTACCGAAATACAGCTAAATCCAGAGGAATTTGACTACTTTCAAGTTGGAGTAGATTCTGAAGTGACATTTTGCCTTAAAGAACTGAGGGTAAAGCAATAATTTGTCTTGAAAATAAAACATTTCCTGTGAATTTGCATGCCTTGCCCAGGACAGCGCGGGGCAGCCCTGGGCAGCCTTCCAGCCGGCCTCCTGACCAGCAGCAGTATCTTACCAGCTGGTTCAGGATTAGCTTTAAAAGCCAGGATCTTCAGGACACTGCAGAGTCCCTCACAGTAGCCTTTGAAAGGCAAGTGAAACGTTTTTAAAGCAACAAAAATGTAGTTTCAGTGGTGGGCAGACACACTGTAACTGTACTGGAGGAAGCATGGTTACCACAGGAGTTCCATGTGCAGAAACTCCTCTAGCAATGCTCTGGGCAGGGAAGGCAAGAAATATATTCTAGAAGCAGTAGACTTTTACCCTCTTTTTGCCAGTAAACAACAGCTGGAATAAACTTACATTCTAATATTGATCTTCTGTTTTTAAAACAGCACTTAACCACCCACCTCTTCCTTTCAGGGACTTCTAGCATTTTCAGAAGCCACCAGTGTTCCTGTCTCAGTCCATTTTGACGTATCTGGAAAGTATGTTTTGGAACATGCCTGACTTGCAGTTACAACTCTACGGTCAATTTTTGCCTGCAGGTTACTCAATGAATACTTAACTGGAACAATAAAAGAGATGTTCATTTTGTACCAAAAGCTGTATTTCTAATCTGCGATACGGGGTCAAGTTGTTTGTTATTACGCATAAAGCCTTTAGCCCAGGCATCAGCGTTACTGAGCTCACCGTGAGCACCTGCTACCTGGACACTTCAGGTTCTCGGTCTAATGCACACAATGATTTTATTTAGTAGTCTAAAGAAACCATACACTTTCTGTTTAAAATATACTTTTAACAGTTAAATATTTAAAACTATAATTTGACTGAGTGTAATATTGTATAGCATGTGCTTATGGGTGCATTTCAATCTGTAACAGGAAGCCATCTCATACTCCTCAGCAACAATATTAGATTTTCAGCTTTTCAGAGGTGGCATTTTTTAATTGTATGTATAGAATTCATAGAATCATAGAACTCTATAAGCTGTATTTCCTCCTACAATCTGTGTCATTACGCTGCTGTTTTAGTCTCTGAATGTTTGTGTTTAGACCAATTGCTTTCAGCCTTGAAGATATGGTGCTGGAAGCCAGCTTTATTTTGGCCACCTTGTCCGACATCAGGCAGGAGACAGCCTCCCCCCTGCCTCCCTGCTTTCCACAGCGGCAGGAAAGGTAACTGTGGGCTTCGGGGCGGGAGGCAGGCTGCCTTAAGAGGATGAAAAATTAACTTTAAAGTTTTCCAGACAAGTTAGATTTGAGAGGGAAAGGAAGTGATCTGCTCCCTGGCTATAAGTAAGTAAGGGGATGGGAAGATAGTTGTTGAGAATCTATTCTAAAGCCATAATGCTTTTCATTAACAGAAAATAAAGACATTCTAACAAAAACATGTAAAAACCAGTTACTAACCTGACCCCTCTCCAATCCAGCTCAAAGACCCGTACAGTTAAATCTGAAAAAACCTCTGTGGATGAAGATGGCAATGCAGAAGCAGTTGCTTCCAAAAAGCCACAGTGGAATGGAAGCGCACCCAACAGAGAGTCAGCAAAACCTGCAAGTCCTTTGGCAAAACAAAAGATTAAAAATATACCCAGAGTCACAAAGCGAGAGGTAACAGGCATTGGAGGAACAGCTGTGGCCGGGGCAGAGGAGCAGGTGATGCTGGAAGGAGAGGGAACAGAGTTCCCTTATCAGAAGGTAAGGAGGCTCCTCGTCATACCTCCCGTGCAGCACCTGAGCTGAACGCTGCCTGTGCTCTGGGGGTTGCTACCTGTCCAGACTCGGTTCTGCATGTGGCGTGTTTAACTGTCACGCTGGAAATCCTCACAGGTGCCGGGTGTATCTTACTAGGAAACACTGTAGACTGATAAAGAGTTTAAAGTGGGCTTTTAAAGTGACAAAAGCTTCAGAAATAATTAACCCCCAAATTCTGTATCACATGCAGTTTCTTACTTCTATAAATATTGCCTTTTCCAGTTTCATTCCCTGTTTTTCGGAGCAGTTTCTTGTCAGGAGAAGGATGCCATCAGTGACACCTTCCATAGTTTAGCAACAGCCAGTGATGCCGAAGAGGATTTTCGCAGTGTGCAGAGCTCCCCAGTCCTCTAGAACTAAACACAAAGCGTTTGAATTGCGGATTGCCTTGAAAGATAAAAGTATGTTTGACATGGTAATTGTGGCGCTGTTTCTAGTTTTAGAAAGAAGTTTAATTGCAGTTCTTCAGCAAGTTAGAACGTGATGGAAACTATTTGTATTCTGAGCTTGTGTGGTGAACTGCATTTCACAAATACCTATTCAGACAGTCGGAAAGTGTGAATCCTACTCACATGGTGCCCATTTCTTTGTTTCCAAGACAAGTATAAGAAAAGGACAAACTCAACTCAGTACTGTATCAGTTCCTGCTGTCAGTACAGGTGAAGTGTTTACTCACTGCTTATGTTCACCACCAGCACGTGTCGTTCTAAAACTGTTAGCTGCTGTCAGAATGCTGTATCAATTGAGGTCACTATGGACCCATGGAGATTGGGGGATTTTGTAGAACACGGCTTTGGCTGTTCAGCTCCACAGTATGTTCTCGCTAGAGAATTCAGACTGCGTTACCACTTCAGGCACATGAAGCTGCTGTCATAAAATTAAGAGTGCTGTAAAAATAAATCCACAGCCACTCCGGCACAGCCAAACACATCACTGCTGCAGAAGAACCTGTATTTTTACAGAAACTGGGTAGAGTTAGCATGTAACTGAATAACCAATGTTGTCATAGAAATACATTTAAAAAAATAAAAGTGATGTTTGAAAGGACGAGTTTAAGAGGTTTTTCTGTTTGTCTTGTATTTTTCTTTTCTCTCCCCTGCCTCTTCCACCACAAGTCAGCGACAGCGCAGTATTTCCAAAGCCACACTGGAATAAAATACTGAAATTTCCAGTCTTTGTCCAATTAAAAGATCATTACTCTGTCTGCCAAACTGTTACAGATGAGTTGTGGTGTCAGTCAAATACAGATGTGAGAACGCTCTATGAAGGTCTGAGTGAGAGCCCGACACCCCAAGTATTGGTGGCTGCGCATCTCTGCGCCACCAACGACATCACTGCATTAGCAAACAGAGGTTTTGCAGTCAACTTTACTTTTAAAAAAAACCCCACATTTTAGTATAAATACTATATTTATTAAATATCTTTACAATTCATTTAAATGTATTTACAGAACTATTCCTGCATAAGTTATACCTCAGACATGAAATTCACATAATTGCCTCTTAGGTAAGCATAGATGATAGTCTCATTTTAACAACAACAAAAAAGCATCCTCATTAGATACAGACTCCGATTTGCTTCGTTATTCAGCTATCTTTGTAAGAAACTACTCCATACAGTCAGCTTCTATACACACAATCTGGTTTTTCCCCTGGAGAAAGGACGTCCATTACCGAGAGACTGAGAGTCCACCACAAAACCCTTCCCATCTTTGCCAGACCCTTGCCTCTCCCATCTCCTTTACTCAGTCATACCTGTCTGGTCCCAAAATCTATTTTTTTGTTTTGGGTTTTTTATTTTTGACCATACCTTCTTCATAAAGAAAGTACATTTAGAGGGAAACTGTATGTTGCAGGTCTCCCAAAGATAGCCACAGCAAGGAACCACAGCTTTTCCATTTCACATCTTAGCCCTCTTTTACCCAAACACCCAGTAACGCTGCCGCAGAAATCCCAACTCCTGCCAGTCCTGTACGTTACGTGGTACCGCAGGTTACTGGTGCATAAAATTCTTCCTTCACATCACTGCTCCCGAACCACCCGCTCCCAATAACAAACACCCTCCGCAGCAGCTGAAAGTCAGCCTGTGCTCCGCTCACGCACGCTTCCATTTCACGGAACACCTTTCTGCTACGTTCCTCTCGTGAATAGTCACAATAATCTAATTCCTAGGAAGTGTTACTGCTTCATGCATCGTTTACAATTATTTGACAGTATGGGCCCTGTCATTTCCTTTTCCAAAAATTTGTGCGCAGACAGCTTAAGTTCATAGGAAGAAAGTAGGTTTGATATGTTTAGAGTGCACATCTTAAAAAAAAAAAAAAACCACAATCAAGCATGTGATAAAAATATCAATTCTTTATAATACAGTATTGCTTTATAAACAGATGGAAAAGCTATAAGCTTTACTGGTCTTTGGTGTGTCTGGTGAGGGATTAATTCATGATTTGTGAATCAAAATCCAAATTTGTTCTTTACTAAAAAAAAATAATAATCACCATGTGATGTGAGGCAAATGGCTTTGTAGACACTGCTCAGCAAAGAACGGCTTTAACGTCACGCCTGCCCGGCAGCACAGCTCCGCTCAGGGCTTCCAGACCCCGGCCCCACAGAGGCAGAGTACAGCGCGCACAACGCCTCGCGCGGGGTGAGCGCCTTCGCCACGCTCATCCATCTGACGCGCATACGCCTCCCAACGTATAGTTCTAGAAAATGGGGGGGGAAAATACCGAGGGCTGGGGGCAAGCGTGCTGAGAGCCAGGGGTCAGAGTGCAACGCAGTCCAGGTCTGCAGGGGCACCACTGTGAAGGAAGTTCAAGGGAAAGAATTGATCAACTCTGCTCTAATCAAGAAGTGTGATAGTAAATACTGGAGAATAAAATGTAAAGACACCCAAGATTTGAGAGGGGAACCCCCCTCCCAAATGCTAGAAACAAAGCCCTATACTGCAGCGTGAATACATTCCTTCTAACGAGACAGCCAGGTACAGCTTGTTCAATTTTAAAAAACAACAAGGACTGACGATTTGTGCAAAGTTATCCACCACTCACTTCCACGGATCGCAAAACTAATGAATGTTTCTTCATTAATATAATCCTCCCCATACCCTCACCAAAATAGTATTTTGGTCAAGTTAGGGTAGTTAAGGCATTTTGACAAGTCATTACAAGGTGATTTAAAATAGATAGCTAACATTATGCCAATTTAGGAATAGCAGATAAATTACCGAAGAGCTTCCAAATTAATCACTTATTATAAATGAAATGCCTGTTACAAGCATGATGCATTGAAATATAGTAAAATGACATGTACATGGTACATGTTAAATGATCTTAAATAAAAGCTTGACATAGTTACGCAAATATACAGTACAAGTCCACAAAAATTCTTTAAACAAGTTGAGGTAACCTCAAACTTAAACAGTTTTAATACAATAAACCAGGTAGTAAAAATCTCCTTTTGAGAACAGGTAAGATTACTTACTGACCAAGTTTAACTGCACTCACCTAAACAGCAACATTACCCGACTTTTTTTATATATAAAAACATGGCTTTAATTTATTTCTACATACTTTTCTACCAGCAAAAAAGTTAATGAAAAACTGACCAAAAATATATATACTCTTTACAGCTATCAGCTTTTTGTATGAACCTCAGGAAAGAAAAAGGAAAGCTTGCTAGAACAGGGGGGGACAAATGTGAGCTACTGTAATTCAAAAAGAAATGTAATATTGCAAAGTGGCTGTTAGATAACTGTAAACATCATTAAGGTTCATTCCGAAAACCCTAAACTTTAGTTACTGAAATGTAAGTGTCGCTAATTATTAAGAGTTTCCATTTACGTACTTACTGCTGCTGCCACAGCGTAAGAAAGAGGTGCCTGTTGGAGAGTCAGAGATAAGGATCAACTGGTGCAGCCTATTCTGTCCTACACAGGTGAGAATGGCAATTATTAACACAAATTATGTTCCGTTAACAACAGAATTATCTACCCAAAGTGAAGCCGTTCAGAGTTGAGGATGATCTGTCCTTTGTGCAGCCTCCCACTGTAGCATTTATGCCGGATCATCCCGCGCTGGCAAGATGGGTTAAAAGGCTGAAAGGACCTCAACTGTGGCCAGCTCAGCGTTTTGAGACTGAATAAATTTTTTTGTTTTTAAAATAAAAAAAAAATTCTCCACAGCCAAAACATCCAGATACCAGGCCCATTATGGACGAATGATCTGCAGAACTTTTAAGATCACAGTTAAGCACCTGAAATCACAAAACACATTTGCATCCATATAACTTGAACTAAGTATGTTTTCTGAAATTCCGTACTAGAAAAGGCTCCTAGGCTGACACCATGGATGGCAAGAGCAGAATGTTTACAGCAGTTATAAATCTCCTGAAAACTGGAGCTTAGAAACACGAAACCTCAGCTATCACGGTAACAAGACTATGCTTATGAAACTGTGTTCTGTAACATACCCTTTAATGAACAGTGAACGTTCCTAGTAAATAGAGTAATATGCCCTCTTGTAGAGGTGGTATCTATTGAATCGAGTTTGAAAGACGATAAACCAATTCTACTCCTTTGAAAGTCACATTTCAAATGCAGTAACGATGTGGGATTGATCCTCCCCCTTTTAAGGACAATGGCTAAGCTCTGAAAGACATGCTTCAAGCCTTGAGCTTCTTCATTTCTTGCTGGCAGACAAAGACCAGTGTACTATGAGAGTGGTTCTGAACAAGGACTTCGGTTGTGTCTCAAGACAGGCAATGAGCTCGAGAACTGGCTGCTGAGAGCAGCCACGAAGGAAGAAAGCAATCCTGCCAGCAGGAAACCGTACGGGTGAAGCTAGGAGCTCAGGGATAACGAAAATGTCAGAAGCTGACACTCCAGGCAGATCAGTCTGTGTACTCAGCTACAATAGAAAGAAGGACGGTGATGTCATCTGGTTTTCCCCCTGCAATATAAGAAAAATAAAACTATTTCATCAAACCACAGCAGGTCGCCTTATAATCTGTGACATTCACTCCTGGAAAGCTCTGTAAAAAAATAGTTCAGATGTTCAAAAACTGTTCTGTGTAAACACAAGAACTCTGCTTCCTCCACCTCTTTATAAAATGCAACTGAGGGTAGCAATGACATCTAACACCACAAAAAAGCGCTCTCCTTTTATGCTATAGTGAGATCACAATCTATTAGAAGGAGTACAGAACCCTGAACGTTGTTGTTAGCAGTAGAGCAGAAAGCCTGGTTTCTAGCACACTATTTAATAAATGTACAAAAACCCTGACATTGTTTTGTTACAAGCAAGCCGCAATAAATCAAAACACTGTAAATCAAACTCCTCTTCAGCATCTTCTCCA